ACTAGGCTCCAGAGCTTCAACTTCAGCTTAATTATGTTGACATCACTTTTTTGGAGTCCTGCTCCATCACGTGCATCTCTAGGCCTGGAACAGGGGGGCCCACGCCTTGGCCTCCTCCATCTTCGCAGATGCTCTTCTTACAAAGCTGCAGTTCAGGGTCCATCAAGAGCCTCAGAGCTCCCTTTCCTACAGTCTTGGGGGTTCTCTTCCACATTTAGGGAGCTGGGAAGTCCCATGATGTTTCCTGACTTTGTTTTTACCTACCTCAGGGACAGAAAAGAGGCCAGAATGCATTATACCTCTTACCTTGCCCCAGGGAATGTTCGAGAAAACTCCTCTGAATTACTATTCCCCTGAAGCAGTTAGCTCAATCTACTGCTAGTCCTTAAGAACACTGGCCTTGTTATCAAACAGAGGTGAGCTGGAGTCCTAATTCTGCTACTTGGTAGGGGAGTGGCTTTGGGCAAATCGTACTTTCTAAATCCCATATTTTTCATCTGTGAAGTGAGGATAATAAAGCCCACCTGGAAGGACTGTTGCAGGGATTAAATTGCAACAGCAGATGCAATGTGCTTGGCTCAGAGTGGGTATAAAATAAATTGCTAGTGATTATTTCCCCCAGGCAGTTGTAAGACTGGGAGATCTAACCCCTCCCTCAAGATTTCCCTCCCGGTATACAGATATTGCTTCCCCTCAATTATATTCAAAGCATCTTGTCCCATAAACATGCAAGCCTCTAATATCAAATTCCTGTCCACACTCTCCAAACCAACAGTCTTCTAGAGGAAAGGGAGAGGGGATGGTTCCTTCCCTCAGGGTCCCTCATCAGCTCCAACAATGTCCTAGTCTTAAAGTACACTTGCAAATGTCCTCAGAGCACTTGCTAAGGCCATCGCTCACCTCCCCACACCCTCCTGGGAGCCAGTCCTCGGGGCAGGACCACCTGGAGTCTTCACAAAGTCCCTGAGCTGAAATGTCTGAATTCTACCACATATTACCTTGCCCCTAAAACCCAGGAATGTCTCAGTACTGACCACTTCCCCCCCACCGCCCCCCCGCCAACTATTTACAGGAAATTTATAACTCAGAATTACTTGGAATAGAATTCACTGCAATACAACACCTGGTATCTGGCAGGAAGTTTTGGAATAAACCATTAACCAGTAGTCAAAGCTCCACCTATTAAAGTCTTCTGGCCTGCTTTAAACACACCTCTTCCATGTTGTCTTATCAGTCAGAAATGGTTTCCTCTTCCCTTCTTCTGCATTCTTATAATAGCTATCTTTATTGAAAGCTTATGTGTTGTTCCTAGATCATACAGTCAATAATTGGCAAATCTAGTCTCCAACTATACTAAGTTAAACAGCGTCTTCCCAAAATTCACATCTACTAAAACTTGGAATGTGACCTTATTTGAAAATTGTCTTTCAATCAAATTAAGATAAAGTCATACTGGATTAGAGTGGGCCCTAAATTCAATGATCAGTGTTCTTATGAGAAGAAATTCGGAAGCAGAGACATAGGAAGAAAACAGGAAAGGAGGCCACATAAACATAGAGGCAGAGACTGGAGGCAGAGATTGGAGTTACGCTGCCACAACAAAAGAATACCAAGGGCTGCTGGCAACCACCGCAAGCTAGCAAGAGATAAGATTCTTCCCTAGAGCCTTTGCGGGGAGCATGACCCTGCCAATATTGGCCTTCCAGCCTCCAGAACTGTGAGAGGATACATTTCTGTTGTTGTAAGCCTACCCACTTTGTAGTAATTTATTATGGCAGCTCTAGAAAACTATTATAATACCAGCCTAAGTCTGTCAAGTGCCAAACATCCTCATTCTTAACCACTATGATATGCTGCCTTATGTTTGCAGCACCTAAGCTGTCCTTCACTATATATTAATCAAATGTCTTGTATTTCACAGTAGGAGACAGATAGTACATTTAGAAGTTGCAGAGTGGTAGGGTGGAGGGGATGGGGAGGAGGCAGAATTGTTGTAAGGTAAAGGATAGGAAGGGCTATTTTCTTGAAAATATGCCTAATCTTCATTATAGTCTGAATGTGTGATTTAGAAGAGAAGGGGAAGTGATTTTGCTTACAAAGGAAGTATGATAAACTAGAAGAAAAGAAGGAACTACAATGCCAACCATGAACTAGCTCTGTGATAGGTACATGACATTCAGGTATAGCTGCTTCAGCACAATTTGACTTGAGAACATTAAGACATAGCCTCAAAAACAAACTACTAAACTTTCAGCTGTTAAAAATTCCTAAGCTCCTTACTCAGGTGCACCTCATTCATAAGTCCCATTATGACACAGAGCAAACACAACCTTTTAGTTGAATAAATGAATAAGGAAATGAATACTGAAGATGAAAGAAAGTTAGAGGCGTCAGAAATGAAATGGTGGTCAACAACCAGGAAGATCAAATGTAATATAAGTGTCATGAAAGAAAGCTGAAGAATCAGATGTCTGCTACGGACATTTGGTAGTCAAAAGCCATAACAGAAACAAATGTAGCAAAATATCAATATTTGTTAAATTGTAGTAATGAACATAGGATGTTTGTAATATTATTCTTTATAGTTTGGTACGTTTTTAATGTTTCATTTCAAAAAGAATAGCAATTGATCAGCAACATCACAATTGCCTGACCAAAAAGGGTCTGTCAAATTGACATTGTTGAAATCACTTTACTTTGATGGGTTCTGAATCTTCTACTTCATCAGCAGAGCTGGTATAGTTATAGTAAAACACAGTTCATTGCTACATATGAATGGGCCAATACTTTGGGTGGAACCTATGGAAATATGTATATGAAAGGACAAAAAAATAATCATTTCCTTGGGGGTCTATATGCCTACTGCTGGAAGTTTAGGCAAAGAAAATGATAATTCAAAAGAAAAAAATATGGGGAATATGGAGGTGAAAATGTGAAGAACAAATGTTTTATAACAATGAAAAATTGGGAATTACAAGGTAACCATGGAGGACTGTTCACCACTGCTCCCACTCTAGTCACAGCACGCTCAGCTTTGCCTGGCTCGCTGGGGTAGCCTCCCGCTGGTTTCTCCGTTTCCGCCCTTACACCTACAATCTACTCTACTTAGCAGCCAGAGTGATCTTTTTAAAAGGAAATGAAATCACTTCCCCACTTCTCACCACCCTCACAGCTACCAACCCAGTTCTGAGGCACCAAGTCCTGGGGCCTGAATTATGGAAATAGCTCCCTAACTGATCTTCCCTATTCCCTCCTCCTTCCTTCAAGGCAAATGTAAGGGCTCCTTTTCAAATCATAAATCGGATCCTGTCACTCTTCTCAGAATCCTCCAGTGGCTTCCTGTCTGACTCAGAGTGAGCTCATATGACTCAGAACAATGTCAGAGTAAACTTTTATGTTGGCACAAGGACCTCCTACCCTCCCAGTCACACTGAACTCTTAGCATTGGACTCTACTCATATGTTCTTTCTCTGTCTGTCCACAGGGCTCATTCCCTCACTTCTTTCAAGTACTATGCAAATCTCTCCTTTTCAGAGAGGTCTTCATTAACCACTGTATTTTATTTTATTTTTTGGTCATAAGTAAATAACATTTATAATCTTATACCTATTTTTTTATTCAATATTTTTCAACATATAGAATTTATAATTTGTAACCACTGTATTTTAAACTTGACCACTTCATAAAGCCTCATCCTACTTCTCTGTTTTATAGTTTCTTTGTGTTTATCATCTTCTAACATAATAAATCATTTACATAACATTTTTAAATGTCTATCTGCCCTGCCCCAAACACGTATACACTAGAATTTAAACTCCAGGAGGAAAGGAAAATACATCTATTTTGTCCACAGCTGTTTTCTCAAGTACCTAGAACAATATCTGGCACTTAGTTGACATTTAATAAATATGCATATTTGTGAAGTGAAAGAACAAATAGTTAAGTAAATTGGGTAATACCAGGATGATGGAAGATTAAGCAATCAGAAAAAATACAGTGTATGAACGTGGAAAAAGACATAGCATTATGTTAAAGTTAAAAGCAGAATCCCTGTGTTGTGATCAAAACTACTTTGGTATGTCTTTGGCAGCATTTTCCTTTTCTGGTTCTTTTGCTCTTTCCTTAAATGTTGGGGTTCTGAAGTTGTCTTTAGTTTTCTTGTTATTTTTATCTACCCTTGTAACTTCAAATACCCTCTAGTCCATTGCTAGTTTACTCAGCATATTGTCCAAACAATGGTTGGACCCAGGGTTGTCTTGAGACTCACCCATATTACTCACGTTACTTTGTTTACACTTCTATTAGAATAACATTCTGGGAATAGCTGTCTATTCCTCAGTATCCCCCAGTAAAATGCGGTATAAGATGCCTAGTACATACTAGTAATAAATGTTTAATACAAGATAATAAATAATAAATTAGATGCCGACTGTGTGCCAAGTATTTCTAAGAAATTTACATTTATCCTGTTTGACTTTCACCGCAGCCCTACTAAGGTAGACGTAATAGCTTCATTATACAGGTGGAAAAGGAAATATGTTTATAATGAACAGTAACCAAAAGGTATGCAGACGTTAAATTAGGTGTTAAAGTGGCGGGATTGTAGGTGGTTTTTCTCTTTCAAAAATGTCTTTAGTATTGTGGTTAGGCTATGTGTGTACATTTGCGCACATGTCAGCATATGACCAAATAATTTAAAAACTTGAGTTGGCAAACACAGCAGCAGGGAATTGTAGGGCAGGGTCTGGGAAGAGGGAGGAACCCAAAGGCTACAGTCAGCCAAGGCCAGACTCCACCAGTGAGCAGTCTGCGAGGGCGGGGAGTGCCCACCTTCTTAGCAGCTACGGGTTCCACCCACGGAAACGATTCCTTTCCGGGAGGCCGACCCAGCCGCATGCAAAAGACCTGAGGCAGCCACTCCTGAAAGGCTTCAGCCGGAGGGGCGGGGACAGGATTGGCCGGCGGGTTGGCACTGATTGGCTGCCTCAGAGAAGGGGCGGGCTCTGCCTGTGGCCCTACCTCACCGGGGAAGACACCCGCGCTGGAGCCTGTAGGATAGGGAAGAAGTGTGGGTTCCGAGGGCCGCGTCGGGACACGTAAGTTTGCACGGTTGTCGCCCTACAGGCAGCGCCGGAAGCGCTGCAGTTTGACGCCCGCGCCCCTCCGTTTTCGAAGGGGCAACGCTCTTCCTCCGGACCTGCTCCGCCTCAGCTTCTCGCCCCTCCTCCCGAGGCCGAAGCCCCCAGCCTAGGTGGGGCGGCGCAGCCTGAGCTCCCGGACCCGGAAGAAGCGCCATTCCCCGCCTCCATGGAGCCCAGCGCGCTGTCCCTCACCGAGGAGGACCTGACTGAAGTGAAGAAGGACGTGAGTAGCACTATCTTGCCCAGGCGACCCGCAGGCTGGGGTAGACTGCAGCTCCACGGGCGAGGAACGCGGAAACTGGGAGTCCGAATCGGGTTCGGAGGAGGAGCCTGCGGGTGGGAGGAGCGGTCAGGGCCTCCGCGAGCCTAGCGTCCGAGCATTCTTAGTTAAGTGATCCCCCTGGCGACGTGTTAATCCGCGTTTTAAATCGCTAAAAGCAGGTCTTGGGTGTCTGAAACCTTCTTCGGTGGGGCGTTTCTTCGCAGTCTGCTTCTTGCCCACTCTTCACCTATCCCCTGGTGATTAAAGCCCCGCCCCCTGCGCTTTGGAGCCGCGTTAGGGATGGACGGCTCACGTTCTCCCTTTAGTTTGACTCCCCAGGCTACTGGTTTTACCGGGAGCAAAAGCTGGACCAGATAAAGTATCCCAAACAGTGGAGTAAATATGTGAAACTCTTACAGAGCGGGGTGGGGGAAGCTCAGCAGCTGAAAGCACAACCTGGAATTCCCCGAGTAAGCTAACGCCCACATATTTAAATTGAGGGGAGGGGGATGAGTACCTGTAGCCGAGAATACTTTACAAGCAAACATTGAAAATATTCAGTGGTTAAATTTTGTTCTTCTGCTTGGATGCTGCAGAAGATTTTAACACTTAAACGGTGGCTTTGTTGAGATATGACTTGTTTCTCTTTTTCCTATGCCTTTAGTTGTTTTGCTGTTTGAGACCTATATGAGTGCCTGCCACTAAAATAGTTTATATCAATTCAAATTAAAAACAAAAACTCAACATGAACTGCGCTCCGGCTGGCTTAACAACACAAAACTTAGAAAATCATCTTTGTGAACTGGACAGGACAACAGCTTTTTAAATGTTCTCTACTTCAAATTTCCTCTTTTTCTCTCCCCTGTAAGGTTTATTACATTATACTCATGATTCCGGTTGGAATTCCTTAGCAGAAAGAAACTGGACATGATTGGGATTTGTGCCTTAGTTTCCTCATTCAGCAGATACGTAGGTAACATTTACTGTATGGAAAGTACTGGCATCTGGCCTAGATTGGACACATGCAAAAAATATCAATCAGGCCTCTGCTTTATAGTCTAGTTGAGAAAAGGTTGGAACATTGATAACTAATATATAATAAATGAGTTCTGTCTTATTCAAGATGTGTGCCAGTAAAACCATGAACTCCAAGAGCTAGGCTTGCTGTGTTCCAGATGTTGTGTGACACAATTTACAATGTTCCCATTTCATCTTTACGACAAACTCTTGAGATCATTGTCATTCCCATTTCATAGCTTGTAAAATAGGCAATGCAAGGTTATTTTCTTTATATCACTTTATATAAAGTGGGAAGATATAAAGTCTGTACACAAACACAGATGTGAATAGTGGCTTCCAGGCCTTATTTTTTTTTCCCCATGAGTTCATTGATGCTATCCATCGCCAAGATTTCATTTTATAGCCATATCAGAAATTCATAACCTTGGGGAATCACGGATGGGTTTCCTGAAGTCTATGAAAAATAGTATGTGCACGTATTTTTCTTAGAAATTTTCATCATGATATTTTCAAAATGGTTTATGACCTTAGAAGCTTTTTAAATTATCACCCATATATTTGAACTTCCTTCTCTCTCAACTATAGGCAGTTATTTCCAAATATCTGCTGGAAATCCACTTTTATATCCTGCAGATTCCTCCTCTTGTCTAAAATGAACTTTTTATCATCCCTCCCCACACGGCCCCTTGCTGTTCCTGCTTGTTCTCTGTCTTGAATAGTATACCACCATCCATCCTCCTTCACTGTACTCCTCCCTCCCCTCTGCGCCATCTAGTTGTTTACTTCATCTATTTGGTTGAATTTAGTTTATTTTTATTAATATGGATTACATGCTGCTGTGAGGCTGATAACTGTAGTTGAATCTCACGGTTCAAAAATCTGCAATTAAGACACAATCCTAGTTTGAAAAAAGCTTGATTTCTTAGGAAGAGGGAGATAGACCTAAAATTATAATTTCAAGTCGTAAAATACATTCATCCAAAAGACTGTACTTAGCGTTCTGCTAAGTTCAGGATACACAGTCGAACAGAATATACCCGGTTCTTGCCTACTTCAAACATGTAGCTCATTAGGTTTGAAAACAAATAAATGTATAATTACTAATTATGGTAAAGACAATTAAGGAGACAAACAGAAATTGAGGCAATAACAGGGGGCATCTACTTGAGATAGGATGGTCAGGGAAGGTTACATTTAAAGTGGTTCCACCCTGGCCAGGTGCCGCAAGTCAGTTGCAGCATTGTTCCATACACCAAAAGGTCGTGGCCCCAGTCTAGTCCTGGCACATACCTAGGTTGAAGTTTGATCCCCAGTCAGCGTGCATACGGAAGGCAACCAATTAATATTTCTCTCTCACACAGGTGATTTTCTCTTCCTCCCTCCCTCCCTCCCCCTTCCCCTTCCTCTAAAAATAAACATATATTCAGGTGAGGATTTTAAAAAAGATAAAAAGATAAAGTGGTCCCCGAAGGATGTGACAGGACTAGGGGAAGAGCGTTCTAGGCAGAATAGAATTTGCAAAGGACCTAAGCAGGCAAGACTTGAGTGACTTGGGAAAACTGGAAGAAAAACTGGCAGAGGGTGCCCTGAGGTGAAGTTACGGTGGGCTAGAACTAGATTATGAAGGACCTTATAGATTGTAGTAAAGTGCTTGGATTTTTTTTCTCCCAAGTGTAGTAGGGACCAACACACTTGGGGAAAACTAATGACATTTTTAAAAATCCCTTGGCCTATTGTATGGACTGAGGAAAGCAAAGTGAAAAGAAGGAAACCAGTGAAGAGACTCTTAGAATATATATAGGTGAGAGATGATGTCATTTGGATCAGGGTGAAGGCAGTGGAAATGACTGGAGCAAGAGAATTCCACATGCATTTTTGAAGTAGAACTGATAGGCTTTGGTGATAGGTTGGTAAGAGTTGAAGAAGAGAGTGGAATGAGATTAGTAAGTGGAAATGTCAAATCAGCAACTTGACCAACAAGTCTGAAGATCAGAAGACAGATCTGACAGCTGGGGGCGTAGGGGAGGGGAACACTTACAGGGTGGAGGAGTCAGGGGAAAAGGACTCATGGACATAGACAACAGTGTGGTGACTGCAGTGGGAAGGAAGTATAAGGGGCACAAATAGTAATGGGAAAAAAACATAAGAAATAAATTATTAAAAAGAAGAAGAAGAGAGGTCCGACCTGGAAATACAAGTGTGAGATTGAATGAGTTCATCTAGGAAGTTGGGAGCTAGAAGGGAAGAGGGAGATCATAGAAGAGTTTTGAAAAGTGAGAAGTTACAGCCACAGAAATGAGAAGCAAGCCAGGAGATGCATGTAAGACAAGGAAAGAGTATTTCCAGGAAGTAGTGGTCAACTGTGTCCATGCTGCTGAGAAGTAAGATGACTGAAAATTATCGGGTTTAGCATGAAGAAGGTCTTTGGTGACGCTGAGAAGAGTACTGGGGCATAATGGGAATGCCTGGGAATTAATTGGGAGATGAAAAGTGGAGTCCTGCTGTATTGAAAAATGGAATGTATACACAGGGTACTACACAGACAGAGGGGAGGGTGCCTACCTTATTCTGGGAAGTTTAGGTAAAGCTTCCTGAAGGAGATGACCACTATCCTGAATCTTAAAGGATGAATAGCAACTTGGAGTATAGAGAAGGGAAAATAAGACAAAAGTAACAACAGAAAGAAATGTAAAGTGACGAACAGCAGTTTGAGGTGCAACATAAAGTACCAGGACCTGTAGAGGTGGTGATAGATTAAACTACATAGGTAGGTAGGATCCATACTATGAAGCGCCCTGTCCTCTATTATCAAATATTTATTGAGCACTTACTGTGTATCAGACTATGTCAAGCCTTTATATGCACTGTCCCATTTAGTTTTCCTAGAAATCCTCCAAAGTATTATTATATTTTATCAATAAGGAACAGGAAGTATAGAGATAAGTAACTTACCCCAGCTCTTGCAGAAGAAGTACATGGCAGATTCAAGATTTGAATTGAGGTTGTTCTGAGACCAGAACCATGCTCTTGATTTCTCTACTCTTCTCTTGTTTGAGGAAACGTATCCTTTTAAGTCAAGGGTGGAACAGTGTTTTAAATTTTGGAAAAAAATAACAGATGGCATTTCAATATTAGACTTTTTATAACACTCCAGATTTCCATTTTCTCTTGAAAAATTGGAGGATGTGATAGATGTGTAAAGGAGAAATTTAGCCCTGGCTGGCATAGCTCAGTGGAATGAGCACGGGCTGCGAACCGAAGTGTCGCAGGTTCGATTCCCAGTCAGGGTATATGCCTGGATTGCACGCCATGACCCCCAGCAACCGCACATTGATGTTTCTCTCTCTCTCTATCTCCCTCTCTTCCCTCTCTAAAAATAAATAAATAAAAATCTTTTTTAAAAAGAAAGAATGATTTCCAATAAAAAAAATTAAATTAAATTAAAAAAGGAGAAATTTGAGGGGGAGGAGAGAAGTAGGAAGCCCATTGTGAATAGTCCATGCAATATATCATAAGGACCTGAACTAGAGTAATGCTAATGATAGAGATGAAGTGAAGGGGCAGGTTAGATAAATATAAGGGGTAGAGTGGCAGGTCTTGGTGGGTGGGTGATCGGAGATGGAATGTGAGTAAGAGAAAAAGTCAAGGATCAGTTGTGAATTTATAGCATTATTGGATGGTGGTACTCCCAAATGAGTTGAGAACATCAACGGAAAAGAGAAAAGGGAAATAAATTTGGTTCTGGACATGTTGGATTTGAAGTACCTTTGGGGTATCTAGGTAGAAAAAAGTCTTGATCACACACACAAATTTGGGAGTCATTAGCATATAGGTGGTAGAAATGACAACAGATGAGGTTTTTCAAGTTCATTTTGTAGCTTGTTTCTCTATCCTCACAGCTTAAATTTATGCACTCAACATACCTTATGTAAGGTTTTGCAGCAGTCTTCTAACTGGCTTCTTTTCACCCTGGTTTTTGCTCTCCCCCATGCCCCCCCCCCCCACAAAAGTTTTCTTAATTGCTTCTTATTTATAAACTTTGGATGATTCTTTTGGTTACAGGAAAACGTGTGTTCCTCAACATGTTATAAAAATTCTCCCATGATTCCACCCCAATTTTTCTTGCCACATTCCTCACCACCCTGTCATATGCAGCCTGTGTTCCAACTACCCCAGAATGCTCAGCATTTCCCCACTGTGCACCTTCATGTCTCTAGTAAAAGTGTAGCCTCTATGAATTTCCCAGGTCTTGGAAGTAGTCAGTTGCTTGCTCTGTGCTTTCCCAGTACTTGGCCAATAGTCTTTTTTTTTTCTGGGTAATATCTCATCATCTTACAGTTACTGGTTTGCACGTGATATGTACTCTCCATCATGTGCCCTTTGCATGCAGGATTCAGGTCTTATTGATCTTTGCATGCTCACCTCTTGTTATATTAGGTATTTAGATATTTGAAATGTTTGTTGTATGAATATATAAATAAATGAATGTGGGGGTTCAGTGGACTGTGAACTATAAGAACCCTTCACCTTCACTAGCCTACTTTTCTGCTACCATATCCTAGGATATTTCTAAGATTTGCCATTGCCTTTTGCTCATAATGATAAGTGTGAGTCAAATTAGTTATAATTGTAATTGTCACTAACATTTATTGATCACTTAACTGTGTGCCAGGTACTTTTCTAAGAGCTTTCCATGAATTCCTCATAATACTTAGATGAGGAAACTAAGGCATACAGGAGTTAAGTTACTTACCCATGATAACATGTGCAGTAAGTGGAGGAACTAGATAGAGTACAGTCATCGGCATCAGACTATTAATGCCATTTATTGGGACCCATGTCATTATTCTGCTATGTAAGTCCCGTTAGCTACTTCTCAGACCTAGGCCTGTTTTCTGTGATTTGCTGTTCTTTGTTTCGTTAATATCTTCCAACATTCACCATACCTTTATGTTTCTTTCCCCCCATATCTTTCTATCTTCCTTCTACCAACTGACTCCAAAGATAGACACATTATGGGCCCTTTTAATTTGGGCGGGGGGGGGGGGGATTCTAATGGTTTTACTCTAGGAAGATGGATAATTAACAAATGTGAGAGTTATAAGCTACGAGACCTCTCACTAAGTTATCGTCTGTGGTCCTGACTAATCCTGGATGCCATGATAAATGGTAACTAAAATGAATGAAGCCTTTGCTCTCATCTTTACCCCCAAAGGTGGCCCTCAGCAGACCTCCCTATTTCCACAGACCCAGGTCCTCTAGATTAGAATGGCCCCTCTTCACAGTAGCCTGGTCGTAGTTTATAGGTGTGAAAATGAGATCAGAGCAGGACAGAAGATGTGAGGAATGTCTAATCTAGGACTTTTTTTTTTTAATCCTCACTGGAGGACATGCTTACTGATCTTAGAAGGGAAAGGATGGAAAAGAGAGAGGGACAAACATCACATGACAAAGAAAAAAGTCAATTAGTTGCCTCTGCTTGTGCACTCTGACCAGGGACCAAACCCACAACCCCTTAGGCATGTGCCCTACCCAGGAATTGAACCCACAGCCTTTGAATTTACAGGACAATGCGCTAATCTAGGATCTACCTTTGTCTACTTGGACCTTTACCTTAATAGCATGCATTTTTAGGAGCCTAAGCCTCCTGACTTCAGGAAGTTTTTTCCCCACCAGTTAAGACTCCTAATCAGTCACCTGCATGATTTCCTGAGGTGTTAAAAAAAAAAAGTAACATTAAAACACATTTTATGTTTTTCAGGCTTTAGAAAACTTGCGTGTATATTTGTGTGAAAAAATCATAGCTGAGAGACATTTTGATCATCTACGTGCAAAAAAAATACTCAGTAGGGAAGACACTGAAGAAATTTCTTGCCGAACATCAAGTAGAAAAAGGGCTGGAAAATTACTAGACTACTTACAAGAAAACCCCAAAGGACTAGATACCCTTGTTGAATCTATTCGGCGAGAAAAAACACAGAACTTCCTGATACAGAAGATTACAGATGAAGTGCTGAAACTTCGAAATATAAAACTAGAACATCTAAAAGGTAAGTATGTTAGGTATACAAGAGTTCTTTTAAATGTAACAGTGCTTTTAAAAAGTAAATTAAAAGAACAGTAAAACCCAAAAATGATCATTTTGCATTTATTCAAAAATTTAAGCTTCAAAATTGCATTCATTTGCATTTTTAATCTTATAGGGTGTCCTTACGTTGGAAAAGTGGAATATCACTTAACGTTCTGTATTTATATTCATTTAACAATATCATTTCTAGAAAATTTAACTATAATAAAGTCCCAGGGTACTCAGTGGTTTCTTTCTAACATGAGCAGAATTTCAGGTAAATCTATTCAAAAGTAACCCCTGAAAATGCACTTAACACATAAAGAATAGTATGTAGACAAAGTATTTTAGTAAGTTCAACTCTGATGGATGGTTTTTCTCCTACCAGTTGATCTAAGATGAAGTAGTTGACTGTGTTGATAAGAATTATGTTATATAAATTTTACATAACTTTTAACCTAGAATCAAACTCCAGTCTGGCAGAATGAGAGAGGCATGAGAACTGAGACTGAGGAAAGGAATAGCAGATTCACCTCTCCTGTTTCATTCCCACCCTAGAGCAAACACACTCACTGGTTGGAATGCTGTGTAGACTTGCCTGTACCATTTAAATCCCCACCCCCACCCCCGCAAACTCCCATCTCACTCCCTGTCTCTCTCCTCTCTCTCTCTCCAGAGCCCTTAAATTTCATGTGAATGTGACATAGCTCTGTTCCAACTGTGCTAGGCCCCAGGGATACAGAAATGAGTAATGTAGGGCTCTGCCCTTAAGTACATCACAGTCTCTAAGTTCATGCTAGAACACATTGGAAGTGTCCCCTTTTGAGCCATATTTAAGAAAATAGTTTCTATAGCATGGAACAGAAATGCCGAATGTATTGTGAAGTTAACTAGTAGGAAAAAATGACATAAATGTACTTCATAGACTTTGCAGGTTTTACATAAAATTTCTCGATTCTGAAGGTTCTGTGCATATAGATAGTTCCGGGTTGAATATTTGCTAAGCCTATCGGAAAGATAAAGTGTGTTTGTGTTTATTCTTTCTACAGTGCGGTTAATTATAGCTACATTCTTTAAGTATGGTAAAATCCTTACATCAGAACAATCACCATCATTTAAGTATGTTGTTTGGTTGAGAACCAGGACATTATTTAGTGGGAAGAGGAGGCCTGGAATCTTGTTCTCCCTTTCCGTAAAGTAGTCCTGGAATGTGGGCATGGCTTAACTGTTCTGGGCCTCTGTTTTCTCATCTCTGATAGTGAGAGACTGACTATCCCAGATGACCTCTGAAATTCCTTCCACTTCTAACATCCTGTGATTCAAGATTCAGTCATTGGCATTAATTAACTCATAGATTTTAGCATATGTTCTGTTTAAATTTTGTTTTTATTGAGTAATGTGTTTTTTGTGTGGGCGCTATGCTAAAGAATATTAGTTGTGAAAGCCATTTCTTATTTTATGGAAGACTTTAGGCTACTTTATTTTCCCCAAGTCCTTTAATGGTTAAGTGTTTAAATATACAAATTAAGTTTATAGCATGTCATTTAGCATCCTTGAGACTATTCCATTATCTAGAAAATGTAAATAATAGTATACATTTCATAGTTGTTGGGAAAAGCAAATGAAATGTGAAATGGGTTATGACAATTTATAAATTGCTATTTAAATTTTGTTTGTGTGGTAGCTTTTAATCTTTAAATGGTGACAAAATGGGCATGGGCTCAATTTTTTTTTGTTACTTTTTTATTGACATCTGTATAATTTCATTGTAGGACTAAAATGTAGCAACTGTGAGCCTTTTCCAGATGGAGCCACAAACAGCATCTCTCGATCAAATTCAGATGAGAGTAATTTCTCTGAAAAACGGAGAGCGTCCACTATCATGTACCATCCAGAAGGAGAATCCAGCACAGCCCCCTTTTTTTCTACTGATTCATCTCTGAATTTGCCTGTTCTAGAAGTAGGCAAAGCTGAAAATCCCACCTTCTCTTCAACTACACTTCCCAGACCTGGGGACCCCGGGGCTCCTCCTCTGCCCCCAGAGCTGCAGTTAGAAGGAACTTGTGGAAACTCTAGTGAGATGTTTCTCCCCCTAAGATCACGTGCCCTTTCACGGCAATGACAGTTCACAACCTCTTAATGTTTTTAGTAAGACTAATATTTGAAAATATATGAATCTTCTTACAAAACTGCTATAATGACTTATTAACACCAATACATGTCTTTTAAAATGCAATATAAGCACACTTTGTAAATAGACTTTTTTGGGGGAAAAGCAGCATATTTTTAGATAGCTAAAGTAAACCATGTGGATCATGTACTTTTCAGAATTTTGTATTTTTTTAATAGTTTATTTTTTATTGTATTTTTTTCCAGTACCATTTAATTCCCCTAATACCCTCTTTGAGGTATTTGGTGTTTTCACATTTTTTATGTTTTAAGACCAATTTTAATAGGGAGCATTTCTCTATTTGGTAAGGGAGTCTTAGGCTGGAAGTGATGTTGTTTCTCAGTGCATTTGTGCTAGAAATTTTCACAGTCTAACAGTCCTTTCCATCCATCCAACAGTAAATTTTCAGGATTAAGCTGTTTGTAATTGGTAATAAAGCCAATCACTGATGGGGAGAAAAATACCAGTGTACCAAAAAAATCTTTCCTGCTCAGTTTGGCTTACAGACACTTACAGAGTCCCCTTCTGATGCGGAGGAACATCTGACTAGTTTGAGCCACCTCAGATCTCAATTAGCCAAAATACATTTATTAACCTTACTAATCCATGCTACTTTCTTGAGATTTTCACATTCTTCTCTTTAGTATTTTCACTCCAAAAGAAAAATCTTTACAAAAACCTGTTATTACCTGTAATTTGGTGAAATTCTTAAAAATACTTTTTCTGTACTGTCTACTCTCTTTTATTGAGAACCACTGTACAAGTTTAAATAACTAGCACAAGATGTTTTTTTCTATGTGGGTATGTGACAGTCTGTTTTATATACTACTTGGAACAAATAGGCCATAAGTTTTGTTATATCACAAAGTTTTACTAAATTTATGCATTTATAAATTAGGTGCTCATTGTGTCCATTTAAAGTATAATTCTATCTATACTTGAAAAAAGCAGAGATGGAAACATGCTATTAACAATAAAAATTTTTGAATTGTGCTATATTTTGGAAGTTTCAAACTTTTTAATAGGAAGTAAATATCTAGAATACTTATTTTATATGTACTAATTTTTATAGAAGATATTTCAAGTGTGAGATCAAGTTGCATTTCTGGATAAACCAATGAGGTAATCAATCCTGAAGAAGATTGGCATATTGGTTTTTAAAGATTGGGTAATTAAAAAAAAAAGACTGGGTAATTTTTGTAGTGTAAACATTTTCTAAGGATTATGGAGAAACATGTTTCACGCCCAGTGTAGCATAAGAAAATAATGGCATTACATTTAAAGATCTTACTTATTTTTAGAGATAGGTGTAGGAGGCAGAAAGAGAGGGAGAGAAACCTCAATTGGTTGCCTCTCTCATACGCCCGGCCAGAACTCGCCCAACCAGGACCTGGGCCACAGCCCAGGCTTAAGCCCTGACGGGGAATCAAATGGTGACTTCTCAGTTTGCAAGATGATGTTCAACTGAGCATGCCTGGCATTACATTTAAAGAAATCTTTTTTAAAAGCAGAAGCAGGCTTTTCATTAATTAAAACAAATTTTAATACGCAGTTATTTTTTTTATTTAAATAGGAGCTACTCAGAATCAGACCATAATGTAGATAGGTTATAGAACCTATATTTATAGTTTATAACACTGCATTTTTTTTTCAGACTGTTGAATACCTATATAGACAATAAAATTAAGATTTTAACAAATTTAGGCTTTTGGGTTTTCTGAATACTATAAAGTATTTTTTTTTTTAAATATTGAAAACCAACCATCGTCAACAAATGTTTGACTTTGAATGGCTGACATGATACAGTGCAACTGGTGACTAGGCTAAAGAATGCAGCAGTGAAAAGGTTACTTTTCACAGATACCATATTATCACTTAATCCAAAACATCTTTGAGCTCACGTTTGTATTGCTTTTTTGAAAAGCTAATAGACTTTATTTTTTAAAGCAATTTTAGGTTTATAGAAAACTTAAGCAGAAAGGACAGCTTTTCTATATGTTCCCTCTCCTGTTTCCCACATTAACCTCTCTCTAATTAGTATGATACATTTATTAGAATTGATGGACCAGTCTTGATACATTATTATTGACTAAAGGTAATAGTCTATGTTACAGCTCACTCAGTGTTGACAATTCTGTAAGTTTTGACATGCATAATGTCAAGTATTCGCTATTATAAAATACCATACAGAACAATCTCACTGCTCTAAAAAATCCCATATTCCACTCATTCCTTCCTCTTTCCTCCCCCTTCCTATTTGGTAACCACTGATTTTTTTTTAATTGTCTCTCTACTTTTATTGTTTCCAGAATGTCATGTAGTTGGAATCATACAGTATATAGTCTTTTCAGATTGGATTATTTTATTTAGCAATATGCATTTAAGATTCCTCCGTGTGTTTTCATGGTGAGCTCACTTTTTCAAGAGGTAATTCCATCTTTGTCAGCATGTCACTCTTAATGCAGTGACGTGCATAGCTACTGTCTTTTTACTTAAGCAATGTAAAAAGGAGCAGGAAGTTTTAGGCTGTGGCCTTATCTTGCATCATTGGATAAATATGTACACTATTGACTCTGAAAAAATGCACACCAAGAAGCAAATCAATCCATAATTGTTAAATGTAGTCTGAGGGGGGCTTTCTGAAAGGAGAGCTGAATTTAAGCACAAAAATACATAAGATAACTTGAGTGTTCCTCCTAAAATCCTTACCTTGAATTTGCCATACTATTAGATAGTTGTTCTTTGTTACAGTGGTTCCTAAACTTTGTTGCCCAGTTCAGAATCACCTGGAGGGCTTTTAAAGATCCTGATGCCCCAGTTGTACCCCATACCAATTAAATCAGAATGTCTGAGTGTGGAAGCCAGGCATCAGAAGTTCGTAAAGATTTCTGGGTGATTCCAGTGTGCAACAATATTTGGAAACCACGGCCAAATTGTGTGCCAAATAACTGCTCAGTGTTTCCACATGTGTGATCTTGTTTATACTTTTAATAACAATCCTGCATGGTAGGTTTTATTTTCAGCTTTTTTAACAGGTGAGAAACAAACAGAATAAACTAAATGACTCAAAATCACATAGCTCTTCAGCATTAAAACTCAGGGCTGTGTAACTCTTAAATCAATGTTCCTTCCACAACTCTGCTTTCTTATTAGCATTTCTTTCTTTTCTTTTTTTTTTTAGATTTTATTTATTTTTAGAGAGGGAAGGGAGGGAGATAGAGAGAGAAACATCAATGTGTGGTTGCTGGGGGTCATGGCCTGCAACCCAGGCATGTACCCTGACTGGGAATGGAACCTGCGACACTGGTTCACAGCCCGCGCTCAGTCCACTGAGCTATGCCAGCCAGGGCTACTTATTAGCATTTCTTAAACAGCAGAAAAGTGAGTGGAGATTATATATACATCAGTTATTTATTGAGTACCTATTATTCTAGGTGCTGGAGATACAATGATAAAACAAAGTCTGTGTTTTTGTGGAACTCACATTTATATAAACCAGGAAAGCCAGATCATTTTAGTTACACAAAATAGAGCACGTATGAGCTAAAAAGTATCTTGGAACGAGTATTGATAACATTGCAAAGGCAGCCCTTGCAGAACAGGTAACATGTGAGCTGAGACCTAAATAGTAAAGAAGGAGCCAGTTACATGAAGTTCTAGGGGTTCAGGCAGAAGTAACATCCATTAGGCAGGAATGAGTTATTGAGGGTCACAGGTCTGTGTGGCTGGAACAGAAGTGTAAGGGGTATCTGCAGGGAATTTAAGAGCCTGGATTGACATGACTTTTCATAAATAGCAAGGATCAAATACGGAAGGGCTTACAGACCCTTGTAAGAAGTTTGGAGTTTCTTCCAAGGTGGGAAACAATTGAAGGGGTTCAATCAAGTGGGTGATATGATTTGATTTGTGTTTTAAAAGTTCAGTGTGACTCTGACTGGTGTGGTTCAGTTAGTTGGACATCATCCCATAAACTGAAAGGTCATGAGTTTGATTCCCAATCAGGGCACATACCTGGGTTGCAGGTTCAGTCCCTGGTGGGGACAGGTATGGAAGGCAACCAATCAATGTCCCTCTCTCACACTGATGTTTCTCTCCCTCCCTTCTCCTGTCTACTACCAAAAAAAAAAAAAGTCTGTGTGACTGATTTATGAAGAATGGATTGGAGAAGGACAGGTTGGAAGGAGAGAGGACATCAACTTTATCTGTTTTTCTTTCCCTTCCTCTAACCTTTCCTTTCATTCCCTTCCCTGTAATTCAACAACTCGATGCATAAACCGCTATCTGGGGCTAAATTAAGTATCTGCACCAGTAGGTCGTAGGGGGAGTAGTAGGACTCCATACTGGAGTGCAGGATGCTGAACAGGATCTGGATGGCATGGGGATGGATATAGAGCAGCGATTTTTAACCTTTTTCATCTCATGGCACGCATAAACTAATTACTAAAATTCTGTGGCACACCAAAAAATATATTTTTTGCCAATCTGACCAAATAGGTATTGTTTTGATTCATTCACACCAGATGACTGTTGTGTTGGCTGTTGTTACTTTTTTATTTCACATTCTAAGAGTTGGGTGCCCCTGATTAAATAGTCAGGTATGGCATGTTTTAAAAAGTCTTGTAGCACACTGGTTGAAAATCATAGAGAGTATTGGGACTCAAATGGAATGAGAGCATCAATACAGATGAGTAGCCTGGTGTGAGTTCTCAGGGCCTGAGTGTGGTAAGGGTGGGATAGATATGGCTCAGCAGGGTCTCAGGGCCCAGAGTAAGGTGTCCACTCAAAGGTGTCAGAGCCTGAACTGGTGAAGAAGGTACCTGTAGGGATGTCCAACATCAGACCCTGAGGTGGAAGGTAGGACCAGGGTGAGGAGGGCATCTGTAGAAAGGCAATCTAAAGCAGTATGTCAGATCTGAAGTAAGGTAAGCAGGGCATTCACATGAGGGAAGGGCCAGTAGCAATGATGGAAGGTTGGCTGCATACAAAGAATTAATCAAATAAAAACATTTAGACTAATGGGAGCCAGATATCTCATTGTTGGAAAATGGAGTTACGTATATGGAAAGAGAAAATGAAAAGTAATCCTATAGTACTGGATTAAAATGAGAGGTATCAGTGTGAACTCCAGGTTTTAAATAGACTGGGAAATAAATATATTCTCTTCACCAAGTTAAGGAAGTTTTCTGTCATTTTTTCAAGAAGGTTTTCAATTTCTTGTTCTCTCCTCCTTCCAGCACCCCCATGATGCAAATGCTGGTACACTTGAAGTTGCACCACAGTCTGACATTATCCTCCTTTCTTAGATTCTTGTTTCTTCTTGCTGTTCTGATTGTGTATTTTTTGCTTCCTTATATTCCAAATCACTGATATGAATCTCAGCTTCATCCCCTCTACTATTGATTCCCTGTAAATTGTTCTTCATTTTAGTTAATGTATCCTTCATTTCTGCCTGGTTCTTTTTTTATGGTTTCCATGTCCTTTTTTATGGTGTTGAAGTTCTCTCTGAGCTCACCTGCTTTTCCCCTAAGTTCATTGAGCATCCTTACAACCAGTGTTTTGAATTCTGCATCTAATGGATTGCTTGTCTCCATTTCATTTAGTTCTTTTTCTGGAGTTTTGTTTTTTTCTTTCATTTGGACTATGTTTCTTTGTCTCCTCATTTTGGCAGCCTCCCTGTGTTTGTTTCTATGTATTAGGTAGACTCCATGGAAGGAAATAAACATCAAGTCCAGGAAACACAGAGAATCCCAAACAAGATGGACGCAAAGAGGTCCACAACAGGACATATCGTAATTAAAATGCCAAAAGTTAAAGACAGGGAGAATCTTAAAAGCAGCAAGAGCAGTTGACCTCCCAAAAGACTGTCAGCTGATTTCTCAAAAGAAAGTTTGCAGGCTAGAAGAGATTGGCAAGAAATATTCAAAGTGATGAAAAGCAAGGCCCTCCAACCAAGAATATTCTACCCACTAAGGCAATCATGTACAATTAAAGAAGAAGGAAA